AGGTGGCGGAACAAAACCCTAATCCCAATCTGCCCCGAATATGCCATTTTTGAGGTTATTTCCGTATTTTTTTTTTTCTCATCTGTCCCAGAGTGAGATTTTTTCGATTCAGTGATAAATTTTAGCAAAAAAAATGAAACTTTCGGGTTTCTAATTGCAGGATTGTGAGACTTCTCCTACCTGGGATCAGGGTCTTGATTAGAAGATCGCTAATTTGGTTGCTGTAAATGCATATCCGTGAATATATCCCCTCTTGGATCTACCAGTTGTTTGGTTGCATGGGGTGAGTGAGGATCTTTCCCCAAATTCTAAGTTTTTGGAATTGAAATTCTCAATTTTTGTCTTTGATGAGTGTTTGTTATCCTCCTTTTCTGTGGTTGTGTTACCTCTCTGTGACTGAGAAAGGAAGAGGAATCTTTTGAAAATGGAGTAAAGCTTAAAACTTTCTATCTGAATTTTGACCCATCATCTTTTGAGAATTTGTGGCTATGTTGTTTCCTTAAATGTGTAAGCTAGGTTAGCTACTATCTCCCTATAGCATCTGTTGATATATAAATGGTTCTTGCTTGCATTTTAAGCAAAGAAAAGTGGAATCATAAGCAACTCTCAAGTTTTAGTTTTGCTCCAGATCTTTTAACTCATGAGTGAAAATTGTTTGCTTTATTTCTTTTTGTGAGCGTCTTTAATTGGGATTGCTATATTGCTTTTAAAAATCAATATCCCTGGTTAAGATCATCAAAGAAACTTCTCTTCATAATGATTTAGAGGATAAATATGTGACTTGAATCACATGTATTCTTCTGCTCTTATTCAAACAAAAGTCTTTCCTTTGTTTCTTTTCACGTTGATAGAAAAACCCATCTTTTTCTCTCTCTGTCTCTGTGGAATCTATGGTTGTGGTTGCAAAGAGTATTCCAAATCAGATTCCATAGTTCTTGCATATCTCTTAGTTTCAAGAACAGATTTACACACGTTTTCTGAAGTCCTAATCAAAGTCTTCTCACTGGCGTTTTTTTATTGTTTTGTGGTTTTGCAACAGTACAGAGGTTGTTTTGGATGCTGCAATAAACCACCGCTTATAGTTGCAGTGGATGAGCCGTCTAAAGGATTAAGGATTCAAGGTCGTTTAGTGAAGAAGCCAAGCGTATCAGACGATTTCTGGAGCACAAGCACCTGCGAGATGGACAACAGCACGATGCAGTCACAGAGAAGCATGTCTTCTATCAGCTTCACCAACAACACTGCTACTTCTGCAAGTACGAGCAACCCCACTGAATTTGTAAACAACGGTGAGATGAGATTTCCACACATTGTTGTTTCCAGCCTTGCTTTCTCGCTACCTATTCGCTTGACTTGTTTCTAAAGACCATTCAAAGCCTTATTACATCATGGTTCTCTGCTCTGTTTATTCTCCTTCTTGATCTTCGGTTCTGTCATTTTCCCTGAAGAAATTTTGTGTCTGTTCTTTCTTTCTGGCTAGGATTGAACCTCTGGAACCAAACTAGACAACAGTGGCTTGCAAATGGAACTCCTCAATCAAAGGCCAAACTTCGCGAACCTACAATAAGGTTGGTGAAAGTTAGCTTTCTTTTTCTCTTCTGCATCTGCATTAATCCTTTATGAGTGTGGTTCCTTCTACCAAGAACAAGAATCAAATATTGAAAAAAAATTGATTCAGATATTCACAAATGTACAATCACAGCTAAAACAATAAATTATAAGCTAGATTGTCATTCTTTTTCTCAAAATCATTTGCTATTTACAAATCTATTCATGTCCCCATATCATGCATTTGTATTTTATATACATTTCTTACAGTTTTGAAGTCAGAGAAAGTTTATGGATAATTCTTAGACATCAGAGTTCTTTGTCAATTCGAATAATTATTCAAACATCCTGAGTGAATATGTCGGTTTTCTGCAGCTGGAATGCAACATACGAGAGCTTGTTGGGTATGAACAAGCGGTTCTCTCGTCCAATACCTCTCCCTGTAAGCAATTTTTCTGCAAATTTCCAGATTCTACAAGTGTGATTTAGAGTTTGTTGACGATGTTTGTATGATTGATTATTGTGGCAGGAAATGGTGGATTTTCTGGTGGATGTGTGGGAGCAAGAAGGCTTGTATGATTGATTTGCAACTCTTGTAACTTAATTTCCTCTTTTTTTAAAAAAAAAAAATTTATGTGTGTAATCAAAAGAAGAACAAAAAATTCCGGAACTTGGATTATTTTTAGACTTGGCTTCCTGAAAGTAAACTCTCAAGGAACTAAAATATTTCACCTTTAAAGGAAATACCGATTTAGATATTCTTTTTGGGGGGTCTTTCTGTTAAATTCTCGATTTTTGTTATACTCAGAATTGTATGATTATGAATGTTGTGTTCTATATACCAAGTGGTTACTCTTTTTTAAGCAGGTCAATGAAAAATATTATTTACCTTTTCTAATTATAATCTTTAGAGTCTTTTGATACAAATAAAACTTGAATTATGGCTTTTTGGGCGTTACGACAAATCCGACCAAAATTAATTATAGGCGAGAAAGTTAATTCTTTTTCAGGTTGTAGATATCTGACTATTATCAAAATGACGTTTTTCATGTCTTCTACGTCATTCTCAGCTTCGACCTTGGTTTTCCTCGCTTGGATATGATATCTTATACTACATTAAACGTATTCATGTAGTATTGCTTTATAATTATTATTATTGATTGGCAAAGACTCACTCATACGATATCTCTTTGGAATGATCACATAACAAAAATCAAGTGCGATGAATGAGAAGAGTCAAAATCTGAAAAATAGCAAATATTAATCATGCACAAGGTAATTTTTCAAAAACTGACAACGTTCATTTGTCATAACAAGTGCAACAAATGAATCAAAAGGATCAGAGATATTCCCAAGAACAACTTCAAGATTTGGTAAAAAAAAAAAGTTTACGATGTGTCGACGTATATGCATAATACTAGCTATAAGTTGAAACAAGTCTTCGTTTACTGTAGTTCCGTAGATACATAGAAACCGAAAAAGATTGTATTGGAGGAGTATTTTTAAATGTATGAATTTAAAGATTTTGTTGTTAATTCCATCTATATTTCTCTACTAAAGTACATGAGTTGTCTTCGTTACATATCTAACGGGTATTAATTTCGTGTGTTTAAATTACTATATACTATTGTTGATTCGTCTTACTATCGAGAAACCAAAAAAAAAATCAAATAAAACAAGCGAACAAATTATACAGGCGTTACACACCTTCATTTATAGAGCGACACATCTTATTTTTCTTAGATATTTATTTAAATAAACTATGTAACGACATTCATCAACAGTTGGTATTATTTTTTCAAATCAAACAATAATTTATGTCGTCACAATCATGTTATTTTTTCCTTTAATCCAAAGATCCATAAAAGTTCAAAGAACTCAACCTTCTCTATGCTTTGTCAACAATTTTTATCAAACCAAAAAAAAAATGGTTTGTCTACAATGCATGTACTCGAACAATTTCTTCTCCTTCAATGTATTCAAAAAATTTGTCAACCTTAACCATCACTTTCGTCGCTTTCAAATACAATAATAATGTTTGCTTGATCTTCTTTTAAACCCCCACCTACATTTTCTTTTATTTTGTTATCATAACTTGTTAATGATGATGATGTAACTAGTGATGATATATAACAAACAACTAGTTGTTTAACTGTGACTAAGTTGTCATTAGTATACATGATGGAGATTAGTTGGCTGGTGAACAAAACTAGTTGGGATAAAAATTTCAGATTAGAGTTGGGCGAATATCGATATTTGCCACTATGGTGCTTAGGGATTTAATTAAGTTGTGTTGTCTTTTTAATTAATTGGCAAATTAAATGGTGACTTTTTTTGTGTTTCTTTAAATTTGGCAAAAGTGAACTTTTTTAGATAAGATTAATTATGTTATCCTCATCATTAAAAAAAAAAACATGTTACGAGATATCCAACATTTGGTACAATTTTTCAAATAAACAATAACTAATGTTGTTGTTACAGTCATGTTTTTAAATTCCTCAAAAGTGAAATAATATATACTTAAAAAAAAAAATCAACGAAGTCGACCGCTCAATGTTTTTTTGTCAACTATGCATGTATTCGACATTTCTATGCCATTCCTTCAATGTATTCAGCCTTTTTCGTCAACCTTTAGCTCTCACCTTCAGTGCATTCAAAACTTTAGGAAATAAATTATTTGTTTTTTCTTTCTGCTTTTAAAATTTATTATTATTATAATAATGTTTTTTGTTGTCAGAGAAATTAAATTTAATATTATGATTACAAAATGCAATTGGGTTGGTTGGTTCTGGGAACAAAGAAGGTGGAGAAGAAATCCGGCTTTCTCGCGTGTATACATTGAACTTGGTTTTTATTCCCTACATTAACCCTCACCGTAAGCTTCCCTTCATCTCTCCCATCCTTAAAGACGTTTCTCAATTTTTGCCTTCTGCTCACATATCTCAAAATTTTCTTCTTCCTTCTGTAAAATCTTCTTCTTCTTTCTTTTTGCCCTATCTTATAGGGTTCTTCTCGTTTCATGAATCTCAGTCTTCTTCCTCTCTTCAACATCGTCTCTGCTCTTTTGATCTCCGTCTTCGTTTTCGTACTCTCACCTATTTTCCTGGAGTTTCTTCAAACGGTTTTCGAATTATGTCTGGGATCTTCAGATTCACTGGTACGCTCTTGAATCCTTCACTCGCTTGGCCTAATTTTAGATTCGGAGTGGTTTGATCATCATCGGTATCTGATATCACTCGGCTTGGTCTAGAATCGTGAATCCTTGGCTTAGTTATATGTTTTCTAAGATTTGATAAGGAACTTTTCTGGTTAGGTTCTAGGATTTGATCTGCTTAGTCTTTTCCCTGGTTCCATTTCGTGGATGTGCTCTGTACATTAGGTTGCTCGCTCGCCCTTGTTGTTCTCTCTGTTGCCTCTGCTTAGTGTGAAAAAAAGATCCTCGATAGAGAATAATGGGTTTTTACTTGTTTGATTATAGGTGATGAAGATTTTTTCTCTGGGGGATCGATGCATCTATCGCCAGGGAGCTGTCCCGGCGTATATTTCCCAGCACGCAAGAGACTACGGATCGCTGCACCGTCAGTTTACAGCGGGTTTGAGCAAAAGCAAACTTCAATCGAAGTGTTACCTGATGAGTGCCTATTTGAGATCCTCAGACGCTTGCCTTCCGGCCAGGAGAGGAGCGCCTGCGCTTGTGTCTCCAAGCACTGGCTTAACCTTCTGAGCAGTATCACTAGGAGTGAAGTGAATGAGTCTGTTCAAGACGTGGAGGGTGAAGGGTTTTTGTCAAGAAATCTGGAAGGCAAGAAAGCCACAGACTTGAGGCTTGCAGCTATCTCAGTTGGGACATCTTCGCGCGGCGGCTTGGGGAAGCTTCAAATCCGAGGGAGTGGGTTTGAAAGCAAAGTGACAGACGCTGGCCTTGGATCGATTGCTCATGGCTGTCCATCTCTTAGGGTTCTGTCTCTGTGGAATTTGCCTGCGGTTAGTGATATGGGTCTCTCTGAGATCGCGAGGTCATGCCCAATGATCGAGAAACTTGACCTTTCACGATGTCCAGGAATAACTGACAACGCCTTGCTTGCAATCGCCGATAACTGCTTGAATCTGAGTGATCTGACGATTGATTCGTGTTCTGGTGTTGGGAACGAGGGTTTAAGGGCTATTGCACGACGCTGTATCAATCTGAGATCTATCTCTATCAGGAGCTGTCCACGCATTGGAGATCAAGGAGTAGCTTTCCTCTTGGCACAAGCTGGTTCTTACTTGACAAAAGTGAAACTCCAGATGCTGAACATTACCGGTCTGTCTCTTGCCGTTCTTGGCCACTACGGAGCAGCAGTTACTGATCTTGTGCTTCATGGCCTTCAAGGTGTGAACGAGAAAGGCTTCTGGGTCATGGGAAATTCAAAAGGGATGAAGAAACTGAAGTCCATCTCAGTAATGTCGTGCCGAGGCATGACCGATGTTGGGCTTGAAGCTGTTGGTAATGGTTGCCCTGACCTGAAGCACGTCTCCCTGAACAAATGCTTGCTTGTTTCTGGCAAAGGACTTGTCGGTTTGGCCAAATCTGCATCGTCGCTGGAAAGTTTGAAACTTGAGGAATGCCACAGGATCAACCAGTTTGGTTTTTTGGGTTTTCTTATGAACAGCGGCTCAAAGTTGAAGGCTTTCTCTTTGGCAAACTGTCTAGGCATCCAGGACTTTAACGCAGAATCACCTCTGCCATCAACAAGTTGCAGCTCCTTACGTTCTCTGTCGATCCGTTGCTGCCCTGGGTTTGGTGATGCAAGTCTCGCTTTCTTGGGGAAGTTCTGTCATCAGCTTCAGGATGTTGAACTCTCCGGCTTGAATGGAGTGACAGATGCAGGTGTGCTCGAGTTGCTTCAGAGCAACAATGTTGGTCTAGTGAAGGTGGATCTGAGCGGATGTATCAATGTGTCAGACAACACAGTCTCTGCAATATCCATGTGCCACGGACGCACATTGGAGTCTCTTAACCTCGATGGCTGCAAGAACATCACTGACGCAAGCCTCGTCGCAGTGGCCAAGAACTGCTACTCAGTCAATGACCTCGACACCTCGAACACTTTGGTCTCAGATCACGGGATCAAAGCTTTGGCATCTTCTCCCAACCACCTGAATCTTCAGGTTCTTTCTTTTGGCGGCTGCTCAGCGATTACAGATAAGAGCAAGGCATTCATACAAAAACTCGGCCGCACGCTTTTGGGGTTAAACATCCAACGATGTGGTAGAATCAGCAGCAGTACTGTGGATAACCTTCTCGAACATCTATGGAGGTGCGATATACTTTACTAAACCCCAACAAAAAGTACCACTTTTTTTTCTGCAAAATCTTAGTATCAGTCAAGTCTATTTCTAGGTTTTGGTCGCTAAACCCATAGATTTCACCTAGAACTCAGTTTCTTTCCCAGGACGCAGCAGCTGTTTTTTTTGTCAAATTTTTAGCAGGTTCCTTCTAAACAAAGGAGCCTGTTTCTACAACTGTTGTGTTCATGGGAATCCTGTGAGTGAGTTCTGGTGATCTATTTAGGGTTTGGTCTTGACCGTCTTTTTGGAGTTGTTGTCTCTCTTATGTCTTGGTCATGCTCAGTCAAGTTCTGGTGGGAGTCCTTGTTCTCTGGTTTAGGTTTGTGATAGTGCCTTTGATCTTCCCCCCTGTAGAGCTTTTGGCAATGGCGGTGTAACTTCTTAGTCGCCATTACAGCTCTTCGGAGTTGTTTTTTTTGGTTATTGTGTTTCTGCCAAAAGCTCTGTTTTTTTTTTTCCACGTTTTTTTTAAAGGCACTATCTGTACTACTGATCATTGTATAAGCTTTCCCTGAACATACTTATCCTTTGTAATGGAACATGATCATCATATCCTTGGATCATTTTGTTGTGATTACAAATTAAAATGTGTCCTGCGACCAAAAATCTCACAAATAGAGAACAAAAAAAAAAAAAAAACTCAATCGTCTCTCCAAGTATCTCTCAAAGAGTAATAATAGCTTCTGTCATTGGCAAACCCAAAAAGCTCCTTTAAACCAAAAGCAAAGCAGCAACCTCGGACATTTGAAAGACAAGACCTGTTCTCCCTTAGAGAAGCTTCCAAGTCATATTCTCCGTATCTAACTAAGCTTCCTTTCTCGAGATCATCCCAAGAGTCGTCGTGATCGTCAATCTTCTCCATTCTATTCCTTTCCTCCTCTTCATCCTTTGTCTCTACCCTCTCTCTGTTACAACATTTGTTAATTAAGACTTAGGAGTCAAAAATTATCAAGAACATAATCAAATACAAGACACTTACGGAATCTTTTGTTTGGATTTTCTAGAATATCCCTTGGTCAATACCGCATTGCCCGACACATGGTTTCTAAACCTTACCTGAAACATATATATGTAACAACGTCTTGAGTTACATATGTTCGAATCTCACTCCTGTCTAAACCTCTTATCACGAAAATGAGATGAAATTGGGCTACAAATTAAAAACCTCATCACCGTCCTTTACTCCATAACTTCCGATGCACTCCGTATCGGTGACTAATTTCTGACCCCCAAAACACAAGCAGAAATGTCCCCACACGTGTGACCTTCACCGTTAAAAACCACACTTGCTTGAGATTTGTATATAACATAATTAGAAAAATGTAATAAAAAGTTCAAACATGTATACCATGAGATCTTGGAGGGTCCCTTCTTGGGGACGTGGCTGAAGGCAGTCTCTATGGCGAGCTTGAGATCCCCAACGGTCGCAGAGCTCATTACGTAAACATCTTCACGTAGTAAATGAAATTAAAATTGAAGCTAACCAAACGAGTATATATTTATAATTAGTGACCACAACGTAAGAGATAATGTATGATGATGATGCATATTTACCGAAGGACGAGCCATCTAGTTTTAGAACGGAGAGCCTAATGGGTTCGGTGGGAAGTTTATCGTAAGAAAAAGTCCGGCGATGAAAGCTTCCCATTTTCTTGAAACAAGATCAATGAAAATCTATAAACCCTAGGTAACACGATATAAGCATCCTCTTTGATGAGTCAGGGTTTCAAGATTGGTTGACTAGGAAGAGATTCGAATGGATTTTAGGGTTCTTTTTTTTGAAAACCGGGGTTGGAATCAAAGGATGAAGCTTGGTGGTATATTCGAATGACTGTCTCTCGCTGTTGTCTGATTCGTTTGGGGTTCGAATCAGACGAAGAAATTTGGTGTTGATGGAGGTTTTTACGCTTGTTTTGTTTTGTTTGTTTATTGCCGAGATTCCTTTTTGAGCAAGTTAAGGGTCAGCCGCGTTTCTTGTGATTTCTTCTCTCTTTCAATCATTCTTTTACTAATTTTACCATTTCCTTCTGCTAATTATATCGAATCTTGTAATATTTAGTATCCGTACAAAAGCGTTGATGTCTTCTTATTAGCAAAAACCCTAGTGGAATCTTCTTAAACATAAAACTGTTTCACACGTAAGATTTTCTTTAAATGAAAATAAATTAACCAAATAAAGTCCTTTGAAGTCTCAACTTAAATACAAATGAGTTTATAATCAGCCCATTTCCTCTGCTCCTTTTAAGAGCTAAAAAAAAACAAGCAAACAAACTTTGAACTTTTAAGAGCTAAATATTTAAAAAGAATCCAAATAAATTACTTATTGAATGCTAAATTAAATCTAACGTTTATACAATTAATATATTAATCTGAAAAAAATCATGCAAATGCAATGATCATCTAAATAACAATAGTTAACAATTGCTTTCATTTTGGAAGTTTTGAGATGATCCCAACCAATCAATTTAAAATGACGTTTCGAGCTATGTTCATCAACGGCCTGATTCCCGCCGGAGAGAATTTCCGGGCGAACAGAAACGGATCTTTCCTCGTTCGGTTCCCGTCCCCGTACCTTGGCCGCGTACTTCTCAGCTTTCGTATAAGCCCGGCCTCAACTTCCGACGGTTTATACGTTCGGGGATGGCCGTGGTCACTGACGCTCCAGTCCACGTGCGTGAGCGTCGCGGATACACACCCTTGTGGGTCCTTCATGTGGAGGAGAGTAGGGAAGTAATGCTCCTCGGGGTAACACGTGTCTTTTCTTACGCAAGTCTTGTTGAACTTGGACCATATCTCCACGTCACTCACAACCATCCTCGCGTGGGCTCGTGTCAATGTCCAAAACTGTGAGCCTATCCGAAACTCCTCTGGAGGCACCTCCGGGAGCATAGCGTAGGGTCCACGCGCCGCCCACCTGTCGTACCATCCCGGCTCGTTCTTGAGAATCTCGACGAAGCTCTTTGTGGAAGAGACAAGTGTCTTGTATGTGAAGGCAAAGGAGTGAAGCGGAATGCAAGAAGGGGAGAGAAGGATAAACATGTAATTCGACGGGTCGTCGAGGAGCGCGTGAGCGAGTAAACGACGCGCGGCTGAGATGAGTGTTGGGGTATGCCGGTAAGCCGGTTTTGAGGAAGGTACGATCCGGTTATGAAACATGCCGAAGAAACCCGGTTCGTGTTTTTGAGTCGGGTCTGCATGGATGTATACATTGTAGAGAGACTTGTTGTGGTGATCAGAGGTGGTTTGGTTGAAGAAAAGCTCCCAAACCGGTGCGAGTGGAAGAGACGTTGTTGTTAAGAACATGAAAGCTATTTTAGGTGGTGGTTTTGGATCGACTTTAGAAGCTTGACGAAGGATCAACAAGTCATCTTGATCTAGTGGCTGAGAAGTAATTACTCGGCTAGGTTTGAGGGTATTATTGGAATTTGGTATTACTAAGAAAGTCGGCTCAGTAACGGCAACAGTGATGGCTCGTCGTGGAGCCGTAAATGTCATGACGATGGCGAAAGGCACGCAGACAAGTAGAATGAAATACAAAGCCAACATTTTATATGTTGGAAATGACTTTTGATTTACGATCCCACAATGTTAATCGTCGCTTAAGTTTTAATTATAGTAGCTAAATTTGGTCTTGACGACACTTTTTCCTTAAAATAAAATAATAATGGAAACGTAGATGGTATGGGCTTCAGTGCTTCTTCACATTGTTTGTACGTTGCATGTTGAGAAGCTTTATTTGTTTTGCGGTCTTTCATGTCATGGCCCATTTTAGTTAACAAAACGTGATCATTGGTTCTCTTCTTACGTACTCTTTTTACGATGCTTTAATCACATTTTATTTTCTTATCGTTTTCTAAAGTTACACAACTAGAATTATAAAAATGATCAAAAAGAGAATCTAAAGTGAGAAAAAAATGATTTGTTGTATTCTTCAGCTTCAAGTTTTTCAGATTTAAACATGGTCTATATGAAATTCATCGTGTACGTTTACATATGGAATCCACAAAAGTTACAAAACAGGCCCAACAGAACCTATTGCTACCGTATCACTGATGGGCCGAGAATTGTGCGAGTATTAAAACATTTTAAGCCCAACAAACAAAGAATGGATAGGAGTAAATTTATCGGTGCCAACAATTTTTTCTTAGAACTCTCACTTCGTCACCGGAAACAAGCTCTCTCCTCTAAATCCTACACATAATTCCGGCGAGTACCTCAAATCCAAAATCACAGTTCGTGCAAGGAGACTTGTTAATACTAGGCAAGTGCCGAATTTGATAGAATTATGATTTCTGGTGGCGCATGGTAAAGGTGGTTTTGGCGGGGTTTATTGTGAGCTCAATGGGTGAAGCAGATACGGTGATTGATTCCACATGTTTAGGTGACTGTTTTTGATTCTACACTTTCTACTTTTTCGATTTGATTATAATGTTATGATCCTCACAATTTTGCTTACATGGGTTTTGGTTGCCTATAGAAACAAATCAAAATTTATCTCTACTAGTTTCTTTCGCTTATGTGGTTTCTATTAACTTGTTTGTATTTCAAAACATATAGACCTGCTTTTTTACGGATTGAACAATCACATGTTCATTGTTGGTCATAATTTTCTTAAAATTTTTGTCTCCTGCAGGATTGTTCTTATACTTGTATGCATACAAGCAGTGATCGTCATGGCCTTCACTTGCTTCAAGTAAGGATAAACTTGTTTCATTCTGGCTCTCCTTTCCAGTTAAGTTTCTGATACATTATGCTTCAATTATGTAATCTGAGCTATGTGTCAATGCTGTGTATCCGCATGGCTTCTTTTAAGTACTAGGTTCGTAGAGTGAATTTGCTTTTCGTGAGGCTTTTAAGTAGAGACTAAATTCTGAAATCGTTGATATACACCCAAATGTTTGCAGTTTGCTCTGATATACTGTGTTCATCAACGTTGTTCTAAGTAATGGTTTTGGTTTTTTGATTGAAGAAGTTATTAGGGGTCGGTATATATATATATTCAGTTTTTACTTTATAAGCATGATCTTGTGGCATTTTTGGATCTATGTGTAGCCATTTGGATAGTTCTCATCTCTTGATTTCTTCATGGATACCTTTCAGGTTAATGTGGCTGTCACGGTTACAAAGTTTTATCTGTGTAGTGTAAGTGCTAACTACACGATATGGGTGTTAAGTATTAAATAGTAAATTAGTAATGCAATATAGTATTTACTAAATCTTGTGGGGAAAGTTTGCATTTTGTCAGAAATTTTGGAGACCATTTCAAAGCCAAATAATATGGATATACAGAGATCACGCGTTCTTGTGTATGTGGCTTCTAAATTATTCACATGGAGTTAATGTTCTCACTTCTACTACATTTTAGTTATATATTTAACAGAGATTTTGCAACTTTAATTTCTCCAAAAACTTAGGAAAACATGTGGGGATTAACAAATTAGAAGAGAGGAACAAGCAAGAAAACAAGGAACACCTTATTTTTCACTAAGTCTCTTTACCATTTCTTGTATTTGACTTTGACAAAGTTCTTGACCTATACTACTACTCTACACTATATATAAATCAAATCTAGAATGATTGTGTCATTATCGTAGTAATGTATCTATAATAGAATTTCTATCAGCTTTTGTTATGACACACTAATTCCCCTTAGCTAAATTTAGTAAATGACTATCTTGTCAAATCCTCTGTATTAGAAGGTGGAAATCTCTTCATCCATCGCCTCCTCTATCTAATACACCAAACTTCGTACATATCTTTCTTCTTTCCTCTACATTTTTTTGCCTTTACGGTTTCGTATATATACAAAAAAACTGTGGAAACACGATCTCTGCATATATTGGCTAGATAAAGAATCGTTCCTCTCCCTTCCTCTTGTATCTCTTTTCCTAGTTCTAATACAGGAATCACAGATCGTGCGGTAGAGACAATGCAGAAAGTTTGCTGGCCTTACTTTGATCCTGATTTTGACAATCTTGGTGAACGCATATACGGTCCACCGTAAGCTCTTTTCTCTCTCCCTCCGTTATAAATCCTTTGAGCAGCAATGTACATATCAGTGAATTTGTATACGTTAATCATCATCATCATCGTTTTGTGTGTGTGTGTGATATTTTACAGATGCAGGGTCTACATTGATAATGACAGCATCCAAGATTGCACCGTTGTGAAGGTACGCACACAAGATTGCATGATGTTTTAATGTTTTAGGAAAACGACATTGGATCCATTGGTGTTCTTGGTCGTGAATGTGTGTCCAGATAAATCGTTCTTCTGTTTTTGTTCCCATTGTGCATATCTGATTTGGATGTCCTCTAATCTGAAATGGGTTATAATGAAAAGGTGAATAGTGAGAACAAACAAGGACTTCTTCTGGAAGTGGTGCAAATCTTGACAGACATGAATCTTATCATCACCAAGAGTTACATCTCTTCCGATGGTGGATGGTTTATGGATGGTACACACATTTCTCATTTACTCTTTACTCTAAATAATTCAGATTGATTTAAGAGCTTCACTTTGGAAACTTGTCTGTATGCAGTTTTCCATGTAAAAGACGAGCATGGCAATAAACTCACTGATAAAAGCGTCATCAACCACATCAAACATGTTAGTCCTAAACTTGGATCCTTGAATAAAAACCATAGATATCTTCTATTTGAGTGTACTAACGGCTAGATGTAACTAATAATGTAGGCCATTGGTACGAGTAGGCGAGAATCTGATTCTGTAAAGGCCAGTGAAGCTAATAACAATGCAAATAACAGTTCCTTGGAACCACCATTGATTGATCACGGCGAGCACACAGCGATAGAGATGACCGGGACAGACCGGCCGGGCCTCTTCTCAGAGATATTCGCCGCTTTCGCCGACTTACATTGCAACGTCTTAGAAGCTCATGCGTGGAGCCACAACGCTCGTTTGGCCTGCATTGCCTATGTCTCTGACGACAACACTCATGCTCCCATCGATGACCCGAGCCGCTTGGCCTCCATTGAGGACCACCTCAGTACTGTGATCCGTGCCACAGCGGATCCCGCCTCCAACTCCACACACGTGGGTCACAAGGAGAACGAGACGGATGGGTTTCTAGCTGGACAAGGCAAAGGGTGTATGAATTCCAACGTGGAGAGACGGTTGCATCAGCTAATGCTATCTGTGAGAGACTTCGACGAACCATTTTGTGGGCCTTCCTCGTTGTCATTATTGTCTTCCAAGTTAGAGTACTGTGATCAGAAGGAGAGGAAGACAACAGTAGTTTCGATAGGGAATTGCGAAGAGAGAGGTTATTCAATAGTGACAGTGAAGTCTAAGGATAGAAGAAGGCTCATGTTTGATACAATCTGCACTTTGGTTGATATGCAATACGTTATCTTCCACGCCGCTCTCAGGTCCGATGGAGCTGATGCTTTTCAGGTAGGTCAATAATATAGCTTCCTTGAACTTATTAGACTTTCAGGGTTTGATGTTTATGTCTTGGTTTCGAAACTTGTAGGAATACTTCATAAGACACATAGATGGATGCGCATTGAACACAGAAGGCGAGAAAGAACGGGTGATTAAATGCTTGGAAGCTGCCATAGAACGTCGGGTTTGCGAGGTAAATCAAACTCTGTTTTAACATTTCTATGTGTTAAGTAGGAGAGATCAATCCATAATTACTAACTTTGGGATATCTCAGACAGAGGATACTTAGAGGAAGATTCACCAAATTGTTGGATTCTAGTTACAATTTTGGGTGTGTGGTGTGTGGCTAATGCAGGGTGTGAAGTTGGAGCTATGCGCAGAGAACAGAGTAGGCTTACTCTCTGACATATCCCGTGTGCTCCGTGAGAACGGCTTGACTGTTGTCCGTGCAGACGTGGAGACGCAAGGTCAGAAATCGCTCAACGCTTTTTACGTTAGAGATATTTCCGGCAACAAAATCGATATGGAGTTTGTGGAATCAGTGAAGAAAGAGATGAGACCGATCCACCTTGAGGTCAAGAACGAAGACAGTGCCTCATCGCATGAACAGCCAGCCTTGGCTCCACCGCAACCGCAACCGCAAACGCAAACGCAAACGCAACCCCACCGTTTCTCGCTCGGTGAGATCCTACGGTCACAGATCGAACGACTTTCTCACAACTTCGTCCCAACCAAATGATTGATACTATTTAGGTATTACTTGTCATATTGATTAGAGAAAGTTGCAATAATTCAACATTTTTTAGTAATAATAACACCAAATGTATGTTCTCCATTATATCTAGACATTAACGTACTACACTTGTTAGGGTATGAGTTAGAAAAACCTAACATTAAATTGACCTATGATCCGTTCGATCCCTTACGTAAGCTTCAAGTTAAGCCTACGTAGCCAAATGGAGTGAAGTGTCATGTGGAACGCATCGAACCTCCTAGGCGGATCGTTGAGCTCGAAATGTCGCCTCACGTACCGCAAATTACGTTTGAGCCGTTCGTATTTCTCATCGGAGATGGACATCAGGATCTCCTTCAACCTCGGAATCTCTGAAACGTCAACTTGTACGGAGAAAGTGTCCCAACGAAGAACATCAACGAAGGGCAAAACGAAGTTAACAGAGAGAATCACGGGGATGCACTCGGCGTAGATGGCTTCGGTGAGTCTAGGGCTAGCGACCTCGTAGCCACTGGGACAGAGGCAGAACTTTGAGCTCCTCATGAAATCGTAGTAGTTTAAGTGTTTAGGAAGGTATTCAAATACGGGCATCTCCGGGTCACGCTGTTTCCAATGTTCTAAAAGGATCGGTCGAACCGGGCCGTGGACTCCACCTGCGAAGAACCCGAGGTGCGGCCTCGGGGAAGCCATTAGGGATTTAGAGAACCTGAGCTTCGGGTCGACCTCACCGCCGTAGAGTTTGATCTCAGGGAGAGTCGCGTCTTTCGTAGGGTTAAACCCTTCTGACGAATTAGCATTGCACATCACTCGGATTGATTTGTTGAAGAGATCATCGTTTGCTTTTGAAGTGAGAGGTCCCTGCATTAGACAAAAAAAGAAACCTATTTTTATACCAAACTCTAGATTACATCCATAGAAAGAAAGAGAAAGATAGACAAAAATGTGAATTAATTACCCAATCGTGACAAGCAAGCATGAAGTGATCAGCTCCACTGCTTCGATTCCAGAAAGGGTGATTAGTGGAGATTAATCTGATGTAATCAGAAGCAAAAGTTCTCAAAGGCTCAGCGTTGAGATTGTCGTCGTATAAGTATTTGACCAACCAAGTAACACTAAAGGGTAAGAAGTAGACATGAGCTTGGTCCGGGTCGTATGTACGGAACTTGGCCTTCGTTTTCTCCATCTCCATTATGAATCTGCCTTCAATCGCGTATACGCTCTTGCACGGTCCGGCGTGAGCTAACGGTGGCTCGCCTTCCTCGTATACATACACCTTAAACCTCTTCTCCATTTCCAAGTAACTCCTGCAGAAAAAGACAAAAGGGATTAAAAAAAATAAAAGTTTTTTCACAGCTCATTGTTTAGTGATCTCTACTAATCTATTACTGCAGGCTGCAGACACTTGTGGTAGGCACATTTTAAGTAATGACTAAAAGTGTTTATGGACCATACGTACAATTAATAAGCCAAAGGTGAAAACTGTAACTTACTGTAGTCTATAGCTTAGCCGTAATTGGATTAAGGCACATGTGAAAGAAAGTGACGTAATTCGTGAAAATGACACATTCAGGCAGACCTTAAATCTTAGCAGGCTTTGGCTTAATTGCACCGCCTAAGTTTTATATAGACTGATTCCATTAATCACACAATAGCATAGTCATATTAATCTCAAATGAATCGATTGCTTGTGAAGGAGTTTCCCTCAAAATCATGATCTTGAATTAGTAGTGTATGAAAAATAAAGCAGTGTGTGTTTCATCATGAATGATAATAAGTAAGTTGAAAGATGCTTTTTCAGAGACTATGATAAAAAATAAAAAAAAACTAGTGGTGTGTGTGTGAATTTTCGATAAAAACAATAGCGAAACTAAGTTTGAGTTTAATTGGTTAATAATCATTGCCTCGTAAGCGTCACTTTGAAGAGTACTTTTTTAAAAAAAGTGAAAATCTACGCACAACCCAGAGAATTAGCCGTGTGCAATTACTTTAAAGCAAGGCAGTTGCAAAAAGTTAAAACTCAAACTTTTGGAATTTGAGAAAATTCCTTTTTGTCTTGAATCTAATTTACTAATTTAAAAATTCATCAACATAAAACTTACCGATACAAAGCAGAGGGATTACGGTAGACTTCTGGGTTTGGGAGGTCGATGTTGAACAATGTAGCGTTACGATCAGAAGAAGAAGACGAAGAAGCTTCGAGAATCGAAGTCCTTGCTTTGCTCAGTCCTTGTTCTACCATTGATCTCCGGCTTAGCTTTTTCGGTGTTTTCTGCAACTGATTCAAAACAACATTCAGATGAATCTTAGTGGATAATTTGAATTTAACAAAACGAAATGAGCTACTGATGATGATGATGACGAAGAAATTCTCAGTTCAAAATTTAAAAATCAACGATGATTAGAGCTAATTTTGTCTGCATGATTCACTCAAAGGGAAACGATGATTTCGAAATTTGAAAATCGGTTACGAACAGAGTAGATTGAATCGGAAAATTCCTCGCCGGAGAAAACTTCTGTTTGATTGCAGATACGAGAGAGAGAGGGAGAGAGATGAAAAAAACGCTTACACTGGTGTTACTCGATCTGACGGAGAGGATCTGCTGAGAGACATCTCGAGAATCGACGACTCTGTTTTCTTCTCCGGCATTGTAAACGATTCTCCGGAGCTCAGTTTCTGGGAACGAGAATTGGGATTTCTGAAGAGAATTGTCGAAGAAGGAAGTGGAACATCGAGAGATGAGGGATACAAGTGCGATTGATCCAAAACAAATCGAAATGAAACCGAATCTCGTGTATCTGCGCTGAAACTCGTCCATTTTCTTCTTCTGCGGAGAGAAGACAAGTACACCGTTTTGATATTTTCCGAGAAAATGCTTTCCCGGGAAAGTTGAGAGAGAAAACAAACAAGCAAAAAAAAAAAAAAGAGTGAGCCTCTCTCTCTCTCTACTCTGACGAAATGAAAAGGCGCGGAGAGAGTGAAGATTGGGCAAAGTTTTGTTTAATGGAGTTTTTGAAAAAGCAAAGAATGTTTGGAATTACACTCATAAGTTATAACACATATTTGCACCGTTCCAGTTTTATACGCGGTTCATCTAATGTTTCCTTATTTGTTAGGTTTTTTTTTTAATGTTCAACATACACAGTATAATGATGAAACACCGAAAATAAGTAACTATACATTTTCGAAATATCTTACGATTTCCTACCATTTAGCTCCTCTTTTATTGATCTATGGAGACATTCAAATTTTTAAGAGGAAAAGAATAAAATCTACTATTCACACAAAATTAAGGAAGTCTTTTTTTTTTCTTTTTCTTTTTCTTTTTTTTTGGAAAAACAATCAAGGAAGTCGATGAAAAGTGTCAGTTAAAGAAAAAAATTCCATAGCATTACTTCTGAACTGTATAGTGAGAGCATTTGTTGCAAGATTGAACACACAAGAAAATAACACAATTAGAGAATAAAATGTGGAAATAGATGCAACAAGGAAACAAATCAGGAGGGGATAAACCAGTGAGCATACTTGTGGCTTAAGCTGGATAGACCCGGGAAGTCTTTGATGGTCTTTGTTGCAAGATTGTACACACAGATGTCGAGGTATGATCGTTTCTTCGGACGCATACGAGCACAAGGTGTGAAATAGATGGAGTTTGGCTCAAAACCAAGGGTATGGTCGTCAGGAACGGTGGTATCCAAATCTAGAAACAGGGCTTCATCACCTAGTTAATCAACCTCAAAGAGCCTTGCGCCGTACGTATTCGGGTCTAGGTCTTTAGCATCCCTCCTGTACACGCGGAATCAAGAGTCTCCTTGCGTTTATTGCTTCTCTTTTGATCGGCTCCAATATAAAAAGTATTATAATAATAGTCCTACCTCCCAAGTTCAAACCACATATTTACTTAGAAAATATTTTATTGAAGATATATCTTCGGGAGTAAGACTTGTACCTTACGGATCAACCGGTCAAGTTCAAACAAAGAATATTCTCATATATATCCTATTGTATAATAAGGGTTAGAAAGATTTACATTATTGAGTGTTAGCAAATGTTAATACTATTAATTAATATATTTTTGTATCAAACACAATCACTTAATGATAATATATTACTATTATCTTTTAATTTTGTTATTTTATTTTCCTTTCATGCAAACTGAACTGTATGCACAAAAGAAAGAGAAGAGACGTGGAGAGAAAGAAAAAAAATGAAAACAATTCAGTGTTTTATCATTCAGTCCAGTCATCAAATCGTACTAATGTCAAGATTTGACGAGATTGACGCCGAGCTTTTCAAGGGCAGCCTTAATGCGGTCGCGGTCACATTGGTCAGCTTCGGTGATATTAGGACTGTTAACTGGAGTCACGTCCTCTAGTGGGTAGCTTCTGTTGCCATGAACCACACGTGCCGCTGCGTCGCTCGCTACACCTTTCACTATAACTGTTTTGTGCACTCCTCCGAGCAACCCTTCGTAGTCCGTGTCTCCGCTATCTCCCACGAAAACCACCATCTTTGATATGTCCACTCCCCACCTCACTAGCAGATACCTGAAGAAACCAGTTAAAACGAGAGACTAAAGATCTTGATTGTTTGAATTTGGAAGAAGATAATATGTTTTATTATGAAGAGGTAGATTATTACCTGAGGGCCTGAGATCGTGAAGCAAGGACAGGGATTACGTTGAGCTTAGCTCCTCCTTTGCAGTAAACCGCATTGCAACGCAAAGCCTGAATTCTCATCAGCTTCCTCAGCTCCTTCATAGGAGGTACCTACAAATAATATCGTATGAAGCGACCACGTTCGGAAATAGGAAGATACTCAAGCTGAGCGAATGCATAATTGTACAAGTACCAAATTCGGGTGTTTGACTTTGAAAGATAGGCAATAGTTAGATGAGGAAGATTCATCTTCCGATATAATCTCGCCATCATGTTCCCGCTTCTTCTTCTCGTGTACTGAACTGATCCAACGGACCAGAGTCTTTCTCAGGCTCTCTCCTCCCCATCTGTATTCTATGTGTGAATGGTAATCTGAGTCCAGCGCGTATGGTAGTTTGGTCTTGTCGTCAGATGCAGAGGATGTGAAGTAGAGTTCACTTCCGCTGTTGCATATCACGGCATCGAAGTCTTGAGGGTTTAAGCCTCCTGAAAGAATTGTGGAGTGAGTCTCAGATACGGTCATTGAGGTTGAGAGAATGAATCCGACTGATGACCCGCTTCTTCCCGCCACATCAGTAACTGTTTTCACTACTTCAAGAAGATCCGATGCTTTGTCGCAGTCCACGGAGATGACAAAGATATACTTCCGTCTTTTCAATGTCGGGACCTTGCCACTACCATCAACCTTCTCCGACGATGTGCTCTTTTGTGCCAATGTTGAAACAGATTTCTCTATCTTAGCTTTTCCTTCAGCGGAACTCTCCTCAGCGTCCAAATTAGTACTCTTACCTTCGCCTTTCTCTCCGTCTAAGGAAAGTTTTAGGTCCAGAGAGATATCCTGAATGTCTCTGAGGGAACCACCAGGTGAATCAGGGTCAGAGCTCTCAAGATCGTTTCTCTGCCATTGAGGATGCCTTTGCTTGCACGCTGCTATGCGGGACAAGTAGGTCTTGCAGTGCTCTGGCCAAGAAAACAGGTGTATGTTTTTGAGGCCGTTCTGTCTGCATCTTGCCCAGAGATGTTTGTCTGAAACCAGTTTCAGGAGAGCATCAGATATAGCTTGCTGATCATGAGGGTCAACTAAAAGACCATTGTCAAGAACCTGTCAATTAGTTAGCCCATTTCATCAGTTAAGGTATCATGTTAATATAATAAATGCAATGTTTTTCTATTATGTGGGGGGAAACAAACCCGGTGAATGTCGACAGGACCACCATTTTTTGTTGCAACGATGGGCAACCCATGAGCTGCTGCCTGTTAGGCACATGGGTTCGTTTTGGTTATATATAACTTATAAGATAACATGACAAAGAACATAGCATTTGAGAGAAAACAAAGACAGTTACCTCAATTAGAGTCAGTCCAAATGGTTCAATCACAGCTGGGTTGATAAAAACTCCCTGAAAAAAATTGGTTTGAGATAAGATGGATGAACAATATGCTTTGCAATAACAGCTGCAGAAATACAAGCATACATCCTACACATTACAGTAAACTGAATGGAGTATGCAGGAAAGTTATGAATTTCAGAACCCATAACAGTAAAAAAAAAAGAGTCAACAGAATCAACGAGAGAGAAATTGGGACATAAATGAGATATGAAGAGGGTAATAACAGACAGAGTTGTAATTGAAATGAGTGTAGACCCTTACTTTTGTTTTGACTCCTAAGCGGTAAATCTCTGGCACATCAAATTGTTTGTGATGCTTAGGCATTGCCACTTGACCATAAAGATCATACTTGTCTATGAGTTTCAGAATATTAAGCAGCACCGAAGCATTGGTGCTAGACAATTCGTCGATATCATCTCGGTTTCCCATTATCAATGTCTGCAATCAAGGAGAAACATAAAAGAAATGTGTGCAAAAGTGAAATATCGCCAATGAAAACTAAAAGGAGATCATAGGTGTGCTTCACTTGAAAAGAAAAAGAAGGAGACATACAAGGTTAGCAAGTTCCCTTAAAGGGCGACATTCTCCAAAGGCTTTGACTAGAGTTACCAAGTTTTTCTTAGGGTCTGGCCGAGCAAGAGCGAGTATCATGGGCTTGCGTGGGTTAGAAAAGAAACGCATAATCTGCCAAGTGAAGAGTTTACGGTAAATATAAAGGTAACACTTGAATCTAATATGGAAGCAAACACATTATGAAACAAAAGATGTTTATTGTTCAAAGGATCTACTAACCTCAGACCAAATGGGTGGATCAGAAGATTGTGGATTTTCGTCATCTCTAGCTCCGTCTCCATCTATATCCACATCATGTGGTACAATGTGATGAAATTCCATACCTGGAGGAATTACCTAGATTCACACAACAAAAGTACACATCATCACAGAGACATGTTTGTAAATTAAAAAAAGGCTTCACATCTCACGTCCCAGAGAGGAACTTAGGATGGAGATGATACTTACAACCATGCGAGGCATAAACCTGCCATGACAGTTCACACCCCTTTTCATCCTCGCTCTGAGTTTCCGCTCCAAAACTGGATCAAAACCGTCATAAAGACGCCATTGCTCTTCAATCTCTTGTTTTGTACTGGTAATAATAATTTCAGAGGCATCAAGGCATAGCTCCTCTGCCTCAATCCGCCTCATTATTTTGTAGTTAGAATTTATCTCTTCTTTCGGCCTCCCCTGTTTCAGGAGTTGCTCTAGCTTATCACGTCCGAGAGAATGTCCAGTAAAAACCATGGGTACATTTAAAGCCCCAGAGAGAAGTGCGGTGGAATCTCCAGCATCTGCATAGTGTCCGTGAATAGCAACAGGCCACACCGGTTTTCCATCGCCGATTTGCTCACTCAGAGCTTTAGACATCTGCATCACATGGCTAAGTGCCCTGTCAACAAACTCAGGGATATGAGGCCAGAGAAGCTCTTTCTCTACATATTTATCTTTGGGACCAAACGGTATACGAATGATATAAGCGCCACTGCTCTCGCCATGCTCCTGATCATCTGCGCTTTCTGTGTTCAGAGGATTAAGCATCTCAGACGGCTCAGCATAGCTCCAGTCAACATCTGGTGCTGATACCTGTCTGGTCAACAAATCAACCCGGTAGACTCCGGGCATTGATCCCAAAGCCCTTGCAAGTTCCACAACATACTTCACCTGTTTGCCAAAATTGTTGAATGGTGTGTGAAACGAATAACTACAATTTGAATTCAACAAAATATAACACAATGCAAAATGCCAAACCTGGCCACCAGTATCAGAATCCCGACCAAGCTCCATGTTTTCACCTCGTATCAAACCGTGAAGACTGCAAGAATATTTTATAACGTTATTTAGCAAAATATGCACCTTACTCCAACTACAAAGCACCATTTAGATACCTTATTAATACGATGTAGAGCTTCTTTTCTTTGTGTTGAGCAAACCAGGTCTCAAACACATCAACAGAACTGATCCGGGACATTCTTCCCTTGGGGTTATCAGTCGGAGTTTGAATCTCACCAGGCACGTCTGCTTTCTCTCCTTCTGATAGGTCCTCTGACATATCTGCAGTTGCCTCCATCCGTGCTCTCTCTCGCTCAAGGTGACGTTTAGCAGTACGCTTAGCATACTTCCCTTCAACCTAATAGTGAACCCCCAAAAAAAGAAAAAAGTTCTGAAAAATGATGACTAACATAATAGATCACGTAAACATTCAAAACCAATAATGATTCGGCGAAGAAGATAAATACTCAAACATCTGAAATTACTCTCAACACAATACAGAGAAAAAAATATAAGCGTGTAAGATGAAATCAAGATTGAAACAAATATCATGATGATCTGGATGCATTTTTCGATCGACAGCAATACGAAACATACGATTATGAGAAAAGCAAAGAAGATCACAGAACCTGCTTCTTCTGGCGAGCCAAATTCCAAATCCTCCAGCACAAATTCTCCAACCTCGTATTCCGCTCCTGCGGACTTCTCGTTGCAGCTGCCTGTGAGAATCCAATCGAACATCTCAGCAACAGAGTAAGATTTGAAGGAAAAACGTCAAAAAATCAAAAGGGAGAGTGAACCTGAATCCATGAGCGGTGGAGATCGGTCTCATCGAAGCCTGTGATCACCTCCTCAACGAAATAACGAGTCGGACTGAAATGGCCACGCTCTCTTAGCAGCAGCGAAGATTTGGAGTCGCCGAATTTGGATTCGCTGATCCCCGGCTCGGCGGCGAGGATCGCCTCCAGGTAACTGTTCACCCAGTCGTTTCCCACCATGATCCGCTCTCAAACACGAAACTCGACGTAACGATCTCTCGCTAGCTATTTCTGCAGATACTACTCGTCGATCAGATTCAGATTTCGCAAATATTAGACACAATTACACTTAGATTTTGAAAATGTGAATGCATGTTCTGAAGATAGAAGATTGATGAAACGATCGTAGGAACAGAAATGAGAAAATTGCGCCAATAACAGAGGAAATCGAGAGAGATCAGCTTTTTTGGAATGGATGCTTCGAGATTGTTAATACCCACATGAAAGAGCGGGAGGGACGCGTGACTGATGTATCTGGAAAAATAAAGTTATTTTTTCCTTTATACTCTCCTCGATTTCCCCTTTTTTTTTTTTTGGCAAATACTCCGCTTGAAAAAAGAATTTGTTTGTGAACTGTTTGTTCTTGTATAGGCTGAGAAAGCTTCATGTCGAAAGATAATCAGACTAACGTACCAAAAATAATTCTACAAAATGCAAAATTAGTAATTATGGCTGAGAAATATTTATACTGAGACTCATTGCGATGCTTATATAAATCACACATCACGCATTTGGGAGTTACAAGTTGTGATTATGATTAGGGTTAAGGTTTGCTTGTAGTTTATACGTGTTAATTAAAAAGCCCAAAGTCAATAATTTTGTCTTGCCCACTCTTGGTTTAGATGGGCTTTCCACTACCCCATATCCGATGGGTTTTTTCCATAAACCCATGTCCAATGGCTTTCCACAATTATTTTATGAATTATATATTTTTGTAGGAAAAAAAAAAAAGAGAAGCAGAGTGATAAGTTTGAGTTTAAATTTTGAATTAGATTTTTTGTTAAGAAACTTTGAAGTCGATTAATATCCCAAAAAAAAAAGATATGTAGCTAGAGTTCATTAACAACATATTGAATAGTTTAGTTTATAGGTGAGAAAAATGTTTAAACCTTATGATATGTGTATGTGGGTCATATACATGCGAAAAAGTTCTAACTTCTTAAGGATAAAGCCTTAAAGTAATATGCCCTCAGAAAACGAAAAATCTTAAAACTTCAAAGAATTTGACATTTGGTGGTGAAAATGGCCAAAACACGAACAACAGAAACACAAAAAAAAACCTTATCTCTTCGTGCCCTACATCACATGTGGTGTCATAAAACTATTGTGGCTTGTGGGTCATGACTCCTTTCATATCACAACGCCTATTTTCTCACTCCACTAAAAGCTAATAAAATTGTTTTTCGCTTCGCTTTTTGTTTGGATAAATGAAAAAAAGGACATGAATGTAATGTAAATACTCATTGCCTGAGACATTATCCGATCATCTCTCTATTTATCTTTGAAATTCGGATAATATCATGTTGACAGAAAATCTGATAGCAACACCGAGGCAACATCAACGTCAATTATCAGGCTATAAACCTTACTATTTTGGGTTTTTTTTGTTCATTAGTTTGTTTGTCTATCTAGATTCATCATTCATGTAAGCTTCTATTAATATATGTGGCAGATCATCTGCTCGTTTTGTTATGTTTATCCATTTAACAATAAGAAGTTAAGTGATGATCAGTAGAATTATAGAAAGGTTCGACCAAATTTCGGTTCATATCATCAATGGTTGGACAAGCCAACCATAAAATCAACCATTTTCTACCCTAATAGTATTAGGCGGTTAGGTGCTGAAATCATTGATTTAGAATATCACCATAATAAATATTCGTATCATATACATATATACACTTATATATAAACATCATTATTAAATAGTACATTCTATTAGCACCTTTGAGCTAAAAGATTGGATATGTTAGTAGACAAATAGTGGTTTGCTTAGTTTGTGCTGAGCTGTTATCGAGTGGATGAGAAATTGATAGCCTCTATCCTACATCATGTATTGATTTTCTTATCTGAAAACTCCATTTTTAATAAACAGAACCCTTTGAAAGAGAATCAACCAAAGTATTGGCAGTTTTCAGAATAAAAATAAAATAATAAGTTCTGATGTTTTCATACACGTCGACGTGTTCGTGTTCTACTGTTTCTTTCATATTGTATCGATGAGGTTAAAAGAAGATATGGAAGATGACATCGTTAACTTTGTCGACGGATTGAAAAGAAAAGTTTTTCTTCTTCAAGAATCAGTTGGATCGGAGGCTTTTGTATGAAGAAAAGTTTGTCTTTACTTTTGTTTTTCTCAAAACATCAGTAGTAACTTGGAGGTGAAGATTTTAGCAAAAGTCACAACTCGAAGATAGAAAGGCCAAAGCAAATGACGTATACACATTGGGAGGAAAATAATGGCGCATCTAAAATGATTTTGGCGTATTGGTCCATATAATATATGGTCCATCCTACTGTTGCTTTTGTTAGGAGGTCGGTTGGATCTTATCTTTGCAAACAACTCTCATATTGATAACGACTACATCATTATAATCCTAAACTGTTTCTTTATTCATTTAATTAGTTTAAGTATATTAGAATAATATGCCATTAACCTAAGAAGAGTTTATTGATATTTTTATCTAAACATACTGCGTTTACGTAATTTATACTCTATAAATCCGCCGCAAGAATATGGCATAGTGTTCAACTCGCATGTCTAAGAAATGCGATTAGAGATGATGAGTCAATTAAAGAATAGTATTAGACAAAGGTAAATTATAATGAAATAAAGTTATGGTAGTTGAGAAAACTAAGCAAAACAGGACACAACGAATGAAAAAAAAAGATTCCAACTCTAGAAAAACACACTTAAAACCGAATCTCTAGAAAAGTAGAATCATCTTTACCGTGGGAGAAAAGGTTAGAACCTAGTACTTAGGTATAAACTATATCAGTTCGGACAACAAATCAAAGCTAAGCAAGATTTAATGATTTATGTTAGGCCTAAGATTTATGTTAATCACAGGATCTATGTATGAATCGACCAGTGCATAAAAATAGTAGTAGTAGTATAACTTTACTCCCTCCAGATAAGGAAGACGTGTCTCTGCCAATTCTCTGATTCTGACCACTTTACTTATTTATTTATTAGTTGAAGAATCCCAAACGTATTATTCTTTTTTCTCTATTTGTTTCTTAAAATTAATATCATGCTGTGCTGTTTTCCATTCGTATAAGCCAGCTGTCCTTCTCTCAAATACTCCCAAAATCTTTTTACTTTCCATATATACCCTCATCAAATCGTTTCACGAATTCATTTCTTACCATCTTCATTTATCTCCTCCTTAAGCTGTTTAGGGAAAAATCTGATTTGTCCTTTGATTCCTTCGAATATTTTAAAATTTTATAGCTCCAATACTACCCCTAGTGGTTTCAGGAATCTCTTAAGAAAATCTTAATCTCGGATTCACAATTCATCCTAAATTTCGATGTCTATTTTTTGTCCTCATTCCATTGACTCAAATCTTTATCAGATCCTCCTCCTCTCTCATAACGTTTCAGGGTCAAATGTTGATTTTTCTGGTTCAATTTTTTTGTCAAAGTCCACAAACATGTAATGTTCGTCTCTCCCAGATCGTACGAAACCTGAAAAAGACGAAAACAAACAAAAAACAGATCAAACGTTCACAAAGCAAACAAAATAAACGGAATTAATTAAATCAAATACATAAGAAATACAAAAAAGATACATACCTCACACGACGAACAACACATACCTGGAATAATAACGGAACACACATAACGGGAGACACGTCGACGGTTAACGGCGAACAGAACGGGTCAACGGAAGTGGAGAACGTTGACGGAACAAATAACGGTGAAGGCAGTGATGCAAACTCAACGCGATTGAGAAATTTGGAATCCAAGATATTTACCAAAGTCCCTTGTCCAGATTTTAATTTTACCCAATTCAAACTACTGATCCGATTTCTTTTTATTTTCTAGATATTTACGACTTAGGGAAATTTTGTGTGCTTCAATAGCAAATGAGTACTATGTACAATGCATCTCATCTTCACCCAACTAAACAAAACTTATGACCGTCTCCGTTACAAAACTCGCTCCGGTATGACTCGGTAACTCCTTGAGTCGACTCGTCTATGCAGATCCGATATGAGCTCGCTTCAGATCCAGACTTCTTCGCCGGATCTATCCCCAACTTGGAACCAAAGCTCTACCAGAAACGAGATTTCCTGTGGCCGATTCAAATACAAGAACAAACCTGAGACCAGATCAAAGATCTTCTGCTTTCGACATGGACGATAGCCTACTAGGACGAGGCTGATACGCAGATCGCCTCTTGAGCTGGTGTGAAGATGGCCTTATCAGCGTCGTTAACGCTCTTCTCACCCACTCACCTTCGACGCCACCAATTCTCACCAGAGAGTTAGTCATCGCCGATCGACGCATATTCAAACTGTTGGTCGGATAAGTCGCCGCGCCTTGGCCGTGCGGATTCGCGACGTTCTTGTGTAGACTGCATCGAAATGATCCAGGATGCGTCGTCGGCGAGCACATACACCTCCTCCTCGAATCCGGAATCTTATTGTTGCTTGGCTTCGAGACGGCGATGGATCGATTGGGAGATATAGATCTGTTATCTATCGAATAACGAAACGACTGCTTCAACGGCGCAGATGTGAACAGATTCACGCGCGTCGGAGACGCGGATCTATGGTGCTGCTCGTGGTGTTGGTTGCTGAAAAAAGCTGAAGACGGCGACGAGAAACTGGAGCTCGTGGACGAAGCGAAACCTGAAGATGACGGAGACGACATACCGCTCGAATACACACCGCAAAAACGGCCAGACGGTGAGACGGATCGTATCCCCGGCCCGCTCGATCTGGTTCTAGAAGATGTAATCGCCATTTCAGATATATTTGATTGGTGAAATCTAAATTGGAAGGAAGAGGAGACTTCGAGAAGAATTCAAAAGAACGAAGGCTTTAGAGACTTTTTTTTTTTTTTTCTCTTTTAAGAGTCCCCGGAGAGTGGTTGGTTCGGCAAACCTAGCGAGTCTCAGAAGGCGAATTTATAGCTAAGGATGGTGAATGGCATTTCTGTAATAATCGAGAAAGCTCGTGACCTTTTCCGTGTTTTCGGAAATTTGGTATGGGGTTAATTGACTTAACCATGGTTAGTAAGATGGGTTTGGAAATCTTTTTCTTTTTGTATATCAACTTGCTGGTTTTGCCGTCTCGAAAAGAATCGGATTCTAATCCAACGGCTGAGAGAGATGATTCAGCAGAGTGCTTTTGTGGGCATTTGCAATGCCTGCCACGTAATCTGATTCGAGAAACGGTCCGCTTACAATTTACTTAAATACCCCGATAAATT